AACAGATTGCCATTATTGCAGGAACTAAGATCCAACAATTAGTGAGTAAAACCTCATGAAACTGAAGCTTCTGTAAGTCAAAGGACATCTTCTTCCAGGACAGATAAGCACAACCCTACAGAATCAGAAAAGATTTTTATCAATCTCACATCTGATAGAGGACTAAAATCCAAAATATATAAAGAAGTTAAGAAACTAGATACCAAAAAATATCAAATTAAAAAATGGGGTACAGATCTAAACAGTGAATTCTCAATAGAGGTAACTCAAATGACCAAGAATCGGTTAAAGAAATGCTGAACATCCTCAGCCATCAGGGAACTGCAAATCGAAACTACATCAGTATCTCACCTGGCACCTATAAGACTGGCTAAGATCAATACCACAAGGCATAGGAGATGCTATCAAGGATGTGGAATAAGGGGAACATTCATCAGTTGCTGGTGGGAGTGCAAACATGTACAACTACTATGGAAATCAATGTAGCATTTCCACTAGAAGATGGGAATTGATCTACTTCAATATCAAGCTATACCACTCTTGGGAAAAAGCCTAAAGGATACTTCATCCTACTACAGAGAAACTTGCTGAAGTATGTTCGGTGCTGCTCTATTCATGATAGCCAGAAACTGGAAACAATATAAATATCTCTCAACAGAAGAGCTCAGGGGTCCAGACCAGGCTGGTGAAACCCACAGAAACAGCTGACCTGAACATCTGGAAACTCTTGGTCCCCAGACTGATAGCTGGAATACCAGCATGGGACTGATCCAGACCCCAGGAACATGGGTTTCTGTGAGGAAACCTGGAAAATCTATGGGACCTCCTGTAGAAGTTCAGTACTTATCCCTAGCATAGGTGTGGACTTTGGAAGCCCATTCCATATAGAGGAATACTCCCTGAGCCAACACACATGGGGGTGGGCCTAGGCCCTATCCCAAAGGATACGATAGACTCTGATGACACCCTATGGAAGGCCTCACCATCCAGGGGAGCAGAAAGGATATGTGATAGATAGGGTTTTAGTTGGGGTGGTGGTGGTAGGGGAGGACGGGTGGGAGAAGGAAACTGGGATTCTCATGTAAATCAATCCTGTCTCTAATTCAAATAAAAAAGTTGAAAAAAATACAATAAAATTCATTGGAAAATAAAAAAAAGAAATTGTTGCTCTGCATATGGTCATTGCATCGTCCCCATAAAAAATTATGTAACTAGTAAAAACATTTGAAATTGTTAAATAATTAATGCAGTCTCATGATACTTAATACCTGTGTTTACTATTTCTGATAGACAATTGATAAACCTTAAGAAATGTAATAATGTTGTTTGAAGGAAGTTTTATCTCTATGAATGCTGTAACTAAGGGCCTTGGGTAGAAACTGAGCTTCATAATATCACAGACATTATGTAGAGAGTCTAAACTGAGTGTTTGCAGTGATCTCTCTCCTTGGAGATTGGAGAACCCTGAGGAGAAAATGAGGAAGACTGTAGGAATCAGAGAGGATGAAGGACACCAGAAGAACATGGCTCACCAAATCAAGTAAGCATGACTCACATGGGCTCACAGTGTCTGACATGGCAAGCACAGTGCCTACATGGGTCTGTACCAGGTGCTCTGCATATATGAAATGTTATGGCTCTTGGCTTGATTTTGTGGTACTCTAACAGTGGGAGCAGGCATATCTCCAACTCTTTTGCCTGTGCTTGAGACTCTGAATAATTTGGAAGGAGGGCAGGGAAGAGAAAATTATGCAATTTTATCATAATATCAAAAATTAAAAAAAATAAATTTGAATACAGGTGATATACCTAAAGGAAATGAACCAATTAGGATAGAGTTCTGACAACTAGGTACCCACAGTAGGATGTGGGTAGCAGAAAATCCTTTAATAGATAAGTCAGGAATTCCTGGTGAAAAGAACTGATGGTTCCACTGTCAGGACAAGCCTGTTGCCCTCACAAACCTCAAATCCAGTTACTGGTTTCAGTAAGACTAATTTCCCTGGCAGATGGATTACCAGTTGAGAGATCACATTTGTCATTCTGTATAACTCAGAAGACAGTAGCCAGATACCATCTTAACAGGCAATCTATCTAAAATTGATTTGCTCATTGGGCCCTTAGAACATGGTGCAACCACAAGTCAGAGATGCTAAGCTTAGCCTTCCACAGTTCTACAGACACTTGAGAAATATCCTCAAGCTGAAAGGTCAGGCTAAAATGTTAGACATCCTAATGAATAAAACCTGAAACCTGGAAACTCCAGAGGGTGAAAGTACATACTCAGATAACAGATTTAAAAACTAAATGTTCCTAGACAAGACCCCAAGTACACAGAGAAAAAGCTACTGACATGAAAACAGCTGTGATAGGCACCAAAAACAGGAAATATAAACAGCACCAACAAAAACCATGGGAAAGATGAGTTAGCAAATTTACCTATATCCCACAGCCACCAGCTCATGAGGAGCAGGAGCTGTTCCAGAGCTCAGTCCTTTTTGCTCTTCTTCCCCTGTCCCACCAACCTGCATCATATTTGTACATAACTTGTTTATACATTTTGAAAAATATTTGGTAATATTTTGTCTTTCCTCCTGTTTTTTACTTTTATCTTTAAATGTATTTTACTTTATCTCTATTTTTAATATTAATTTTAATATCCATCTAATGTATTTTGATTGTGTTCATTTGCCAGCTCCTCTCAGATTCTTTCCACTTCCAAAATCACCCATTTTCATGTCCTCTATTTCTGTCTAACAAAATCAAATAAAACAAAAAATACAAAATCAAAATAAGAATCATACAGTCTTTTTCTTGTTGGTTAAATACTTCTGGGCATGGAAACTGTCCTGAAGTGTGGCTGATATATCCAGTGCCACCCCACTGGAGAAAACTGATTTGCCATTCCCCAGAAAGAATCAATTACAAGAGAAGCATAATTATTACCTGTCATTGTCTGTGCCTCAGCAGTAAGGACAAATAGCAAACAATTATCAGTGTAGAGCAAGACTGTGTTTATAAGAATGTCACACATGGGATATAACCCTTGTTGAGTATCTGGTCTACTTGTTAAAATTTCATTGAAATTCATCAGGACAGAGAAAATTACAGGTACTATGTTCATATAAATATGTTATCTACTATTGCTCTTAGTTACATTTTGTTTGCACCGACACAAAAAATGATGGAAAGTTTTAAGAATTTCTAAAAGCCACTTGATTGTATTCCTCCCCTTTACTCTTTCCAGATAAGTTCATCAATAAAGGTCATCTCTCTGTCCTGAAAAAAGATAAGGAACACAATAGAATTAAGCCCTGAATGCATGCTGATCAAAATGTGGTTTGTTATTGCAGAGGCAATTCATACGTAATTTGTTTAAGATTCTCTGTTACAAATAAAAAGGTAACAAACTTTAAACACAAATATATGACATGAATAGAGAAATGGTATCATCTAGGAAGAGTAAATGGATTTTAAACTTAATAGAATTAAGTTAAGTGAGAGTTGAATTGACCTGTCAAGGCAACTGTGCTTTTTGTTCAATATTATATCACATAAGCTGACACAAACTGTCACTTGTTGGGGTATGAATTGTGAAATGGTTATTCTTACCTGGAAATAATTCACACCTCTTTCTACTCACTGTTTTCTATTTTAAAGATATTTTGTACTCTTTCCTATAAAAATGTGTGTACCTCAAAGAATTGTTATTCAATATAACATCTCATCCCTCCCTACAGTCATAGAAGTACTTAATAGAGTCATATCAACCACTAAAATACAAAAAGAAAAACCGATGCACATTGAATTAAAGAAACCAAAATAGTCCATTTTAACAATTTGTTTACTATCTTCTAATTTGACCTAAACTGAAACAATTATCAACTGATACAAATACTGCCTAAGACAATTTGTTATCATTAACTCATGATTACTAAGTGAAAGAACACCAATACTCTTGTAAAGAGGAAAACAAGAGATCACTTGAGGTTAACAGATTACTTGAAAATTAATTGTGTTTGTATGAAACGAACTCCTTAGCATTCACTGGGAATGAGGTAATGATTCCTGGTGAATTGAATTCACACTGGAATCCAGACCCTCACTGGGGACTTATCCTCAGTGACAACGACAGTGTATACAGTTATAAAATCATAATAACATTGAGTTTCTTACTTTGAAATGAATTATTATACCAAGAGGTAAGATTGTGACTTTGTTGGTAAATGGTGATATTTTATTCTTGAAATGTACTGTATCTATGAACCATGGTGGAGAAACAATTCAGATGAAATCAAGCAATTATGCAACAGGCTAAAAAAACCCTAAACTTTCATAGAATCACCTTATATTTCCATAAGTAAATTATTCATAATGATCAGCTTAAAATAAGTTTTCATATATTTCTAATTTATAAGACAGAAATCAGCATGAATTTCATAGATGTATACATGTAACATTCAGCCAACCTTTAAATGCTTTGGTAGCAAACATTATTTGCAAAGACCTACTTTGTTTGTGGGCTGCATGTTCCAGCATCACAAGCCTCACTGCAGACAAATGAGGATGTAAATATAGAATGTGAAGAATGGAAATCAATCTGCGCCCCCCCCCGCTGGATAAGCTTTGGAAAAGGCCTTAACTTCTTAATATGAATGTTTATTGACAATTGACCTGTGTTAAAAACATTAATTTATTCAATCACACTCCAGTTAGAAGATACTGTGACTCTGGGAAAGGATTTGGTACCTAAACAAAATGATAATAATAATGTGCTAAATGTTATTCATATTTTACATGATAGTAAAATTGATATTTCAAATTATTTTAAAGAGCAATGATCTATTTAGAAGTATTTAATAAAATATTTAAGGAGCTTAATACAGGAAGTTTCATTTATAAATTTAGTGTGATTTTTATTTAGTTTGACAGATTTTGGGATCGATATCACCAACAAAACACCTTTCTATGTACTAATCATTAGAAAGCTGAAATGGCTGATCCTTTTTTGGTTCATAAGCATTATGATTAAGGATTCATGTCAATGAGTGACAGGTGCCACTCATTAAACTTTGTTAGGCCATGGATGCATTACCTGTCTGATGTGAGCAAAAAGGAAAAAATGGGAAAAAGAAAACTGAAATTCGATCCTTCTGTCTGCCCATAATTTGTGTATTTCTGAAGGGAACTGCCACCATTTATTTATACTCTGGCTACAAAAAAATAGATTTAGTTCAACCTGCCTGCTGTTCATAACTAATACTCTTTTAAAACATATGTTATTTTTATTTTGTGTATATGAGTGCTGCCTGCCTGTAGATATGTGTACCATGTGTATGCCTGATGCCAGTGAGGACCACAAGAGGCACTGGGTCTTGAGAACTGTAAAAACTGCTGTGAGAAGCTATCTGGGTGCTGGGGATGAAACCCAGGTCCTCTGTAAGTGTAGCCAGTGCATTTAAACAAAGAGACATCTCTTGAGCCCCATAATGCTATTGCTTCATATATATATATATAGTTTAAAGACCATACATTTATATGTGTGTATCTCCTGTAAAATGTAAATTATAAAAGAACTTAATGTTATTTCATAAAAATAAAAATAGGAATGCATACAATTTTTTAAAATCATCCGCTGGTGATTTAGTAAATATTCAATAAATTTAGCAATGATTTAAGTCTTCATTATATAATCCTATGATTTTACATTTTAATCCTTTGTTATACTTATAATAAATGCTTTGATATTTGTAAAAGACATTTATTTCTCTATTTGAGTGAAAGGAATATTGCAGGCAACATAGCATAAGTGTGGATGTCAAAGGACAATGTGCAAGATTTGGTTCTCTTCTCCCACCATGAGAGTTCCAGGAAACAAACTCTGGCCATCATGTGTCAGGCTTGGTGATAAGAACATTTACCACAATATTTGTACTATATCTCTAGCATTTGTGATTAAATTCTTTGAGGAACTTACTACACAGAAGTGTGAAAACAATGAAATCCATGATTAAAATATCTATCATTGGTCCTAGTTTTTGAATAATGTATCAGTTTGTAATCCATGTCTGTATTAAACAAAATGGAGTGACCTATTTATAAATGTAATATCTCTATCACAGCCTTGTTTTGGGAGGAGCTACACCACTCCATGGCTTTCCTGGAGGATGGGAACCACACTGCAGTGACAGAGTTCATTTTGTCAGGCTTGACAGATGACCCAGTCCTTAGAGTTGTCCTCTTCACCATCATCCTGTGCATCTACCTGGTGGCTTTTTTGGGAACCTCAGCACCATCCTTCTCATCAGAGTCTCTTCCCAGCTTCATCATCCCATGTACTTTTTTCTCAGTCACTTGGCTTCTACTGACATAGGCATCTCATCTTCTGTCACACCCAATATGCTTGTCAACTTCCTGGAAAGTCAAAATACTATCTCATACCTTGGATGTGGAATCCAGCTCAGCTCAGCTGCTTTCTTTGGATCTGTTGAATGCTTCCTTCTGGCTGTCATGGCTTATGATCGCTTTATGGCAATCTGCAACCCACTGTTTTATTCAACTAAAATGTCCACACAAGTCTGTGTCCAGTTGGTTCTGGGATCTTATGTAGGGGGTTTCTTAACACTTTGTCATACACCCTTTCATTTTTTTCTTTTCTTTTCTGTGGACCAAATAGAATCAATCACTTTTTCTGTGATTTTGCTCCTTTGATGGAACTCTCCTGTTCTGACGTCAGTGTCTCTGGAGTTGTTATCTCATATTCTGCTGGATCAGTCACTATGACCACACTGCTTGTCATATTTATATCCTACACCTACATCCTCATCACCATACTCAAGATGCACTCCACTGAGGGTCGGCAGAAAGCCTTCTCTACCTGTACCTCCCACCTCACTGCAGTCACTCTCTACTATGGCACCATCACATTCATTTATGTGATGCCCAAATCCAGCTACTCCACAGACCAGAACAAGGTGGTGTCTGTGTTTTACATGGTGGTGATCCCTATGTTGAACCCCCTCATCTACAGCCTCAGGAATAATGAGATTAAGGGTGCTCTAAATAGACAGCTTGGTAAGAAATTATTTTCATAGGGTAATTAGTTGTTTTGTAAAACTTAATATAATAATGGCAATCAGCTGTGGGTGTCTACCTTGAACTGAACTGAAATCCAGATGCAGAGAAGGAAGACTGACTGATGGGCAAAGGGGTCCATACCAGGCTGGTGAAACCCACAGAAACAGCTGATCTGAACAAGGTAAAACTCTTGGTCCCCAGACTGATAGCTGGGAAATCAACATGAGACTGATCCAGATCCCCTGAATGTGGGTGTTAGTGAGGAGACCTTGGAAATCTATGGGACCTCTTGTAGAGGATCAGTACTTATCACTACCATAGGAATGGACTTTAGGAGCCCATCGCACATGGAGGGATACTCCCTGAGCCTAGACACAAGGGGTTGGCCTAGGCCCTATCCAAGCCTCACCCTTCCTGGGGAGCAGAAAGGGTATGGGATGGGTAGGGTGTTAGTTGGGGGAGCAGGGGAGGAGGGGAGGGGGACCTGAGATTGACACGTAAAATAATTTTCTTTCTAATTTATATATATATATATATACATATATATATGTATATATATATGTATATATACCTTCATCTTAGGTTTGGTTATTTAGCTTTCTTGTTACACCTTTTGCCCTAATCTCATATTTCTTCCAGTATATATAGTTAGGGTATTTTATTGCATTTCTCTGTTTTATAATATTCAATGTGTCTTTCAGAATCTTATACAATGTATTTTGATCACATTCACATCCTCTCCACAACTTTTCTCAGTCCTGTAGCTCCATCTCCTACTCACGAAACACTATGTCCTTTTTTTGGCAGATCTAACTTGGACTGTATATGCTTAAGTATGTATCCATCAATTATGTATGGTTAGCCTCCTGGGACCACACTCTTAAAGATAATTGACTCTCTCTTGCATACATCAGTTACCTATTACACTTCAGTTAGAGCTAGACTGTATGCCCAATTCTCTCCATGGTAGGATTTTGTCTGGTTTGAGCTTGTAGATGCTTACATCTACCATGAGTTTATATCTACAACCATTCTGTTGTATCCTGAAAATAATATTTCTTTGTAGTCATCCAATACCTCTAGTTTTTACCATCCCTCCTTCTGCTCTTTCACAATGATTCTGAACTGGTAGAGAAGGGGGTATGATGAAGATATCCTGTTTAGAGATGACAATTCCACAGTCTCTAATTATCTGCACATTGTCAAGTTCTACATTAATCACCATCTACAGCAAAAAGAAGCTGCTCTAATAAAGGTTGGGAGATAAACTAATCTACGGGCATAATTACAATCCATTGCAAATTGGTTTTTATACTATATGTCTTTTAAGCAAGATAATGGTGACTGGTTATTCCCAAGGGACTACAACCCGTTTAGCTTAGGTTTTTGTCCTGATAGTGTTGTTAGATGTGGGTTTCATCTTGTGAAGCTAACTTTAGATCCAGTCAGTGTGTAGTTACACCCATGATGTTTGTACCACTATAGCACCAGTAGGCATGTCTTGCCATGCAAGTGGTTATTTTAGCTTGGAAGTTTCAAAAGACAACACATATAATGTTTATAAAGATGATCATATTAGGCTGTTACTATTTACAAATTTAATTCCTTCCACTCACTTCAGAATAGAATTCAGATACTCATCTATCTTCTATAATTCTCTCCTTGAATTACCCTGACTTGCATTTTATTTCTAGAGATTATCAGGATCAGTGTACTTGCTATTTGGTGGAATTAGTCCACTCTTCATACTTACAAGCCCTTCTCAGTTTGCTGCCTAAATACAATTTTCCCATGGAAATTTCATTGCTATCCTACCTAAACTAAAAGCAACACCCTCATTAATGCTATCTTTACCACTGATAATATTTCCATTTATTCTTCTCCACAATGTTCTAAGTTTTAAATGGTTGATTCTTCTCTATGGAACTTTCTACTGAAGTATCAATTTCATGAGAATTATTTCAGAAGTAACATATTTTTAGGATATGTCAGTACCTACTTGGCTTTATGTTACAATAAATACTCAATATCTAGATGAATTGAATGGCTCATTACTTATGCTGCATCTACCTGTAAAACAATTCTAATATGCAACAGACTGTTCCATAACGAATTTGTTTTGATACTTTTTCCTAAACTATTCTCAAAGATGTCCAGAAAAGAAAGCTAAAAATCTTCACAGATATGTTAACTAGTGTTCCTTATTGGTCATTAACATTTTATTTATCAATTATCAAAGCTCAGATAATACTTAATGCGAAATATAGAAAACAGTTAAACATTCTGACCTCAGAGATTTGGATTAAGTGTTTATGGGGAGGCTAATTTGTTCAAGAATTTGTTGAGAATAGTATATTGAGACTCCCACTGTTAGTATGTGAACATCAATGTGTATCTTAGTTGTAATAGTGTTTATTTTACAAACTTGGGTGCCCTCATATTTTGGGCATAGATGTTAAGAATTGAAATTTTATCTTGGTGGGTTTTTTTCCCTTGGTTAGTTTGTTGTGTCATTTCCTAGTTCTTCTGATTAGCTTTGGTTTGAAGTCTATTTTGTCAGATATTAAAATGGATTCACTAGCTTGATTCTTAAGTCCATTTTCTTAGAGTTTTTTTCTAACCCTTTATTTGAAGATAATATCTGTCCTTGATATTAATGTGTGTTTCTTAGATGCAGCAGAAGGACCAATCCTATTTTAGCATCTGTTCTGTTAGTCTGGTATCTTTGTTGGGGACTTGATACTGTGAGATATTAATGACCAATGATTTTTGTGGTTGTAGTTTGTCTTGGTGGTAGTTGTTGTGGCAGGTGTGTGTGTGTGTGTGTGTGTGTGTGTGTGTGTGTGTGTGTGTGTGTGTGTGTGTGTGTGTGTGTGTGTGTTCATGTTTATGTATTTGCGTGCAGGTGTTTTTCTCTATCACTCCGCATCTTACGGTTTCTCTGGTCTGAGACTATTCCCTATATTTTCATGAATTTAGTTAACCTCTTTAGATTGGAATTTTCCTTTTATTGCCTCCTGTAGGGCTGGATTTATAGATAAATAGTATTTAAAATCAGCTCTATCATGGAATGTGGATTTTTAGCACACTAGCTGATCAGCCCAGGGAAACAGATAAGCTAATCAAAGACCTTCACCACACCCTCCTCTCCTCCAAATTCAATTCCCCCGTCTCACCCTAACTCTACAACAGAGTATCTGTTGTATCCTCCCCTGAGCACTTACATCCATCTACTATGGATTCCATAATCCCCCCTCAAGCCTCCATTCCTAAACTTGTTGCTTTATCTCATCTACCAGCTCTATCAGGCACTCCCTACAACCCAAAGATCACTCCTGCAAGGGAATCTTGTAGGCAGACTGCAAATGTTCACCTCTCCTTCTGGTCCTCCTGAACCGATCCCCTGACTCTCATCTCTAACTCTGTAGCACATCACCTGTTGCAGTCTCCCTTTCTGAACTGACCAGATCTCCAGTGGATCACAAAGATCTTCTTCTCTAAGCTTCCTTCCCCCAACTCTTCCTTTTTTCTCTTTCTGTCTCACCCTTCCCACTCCTCCTGGCCCAGTATTGTCTGCTGACCCAGTTCAGTCTGGACCCTTCCAGATGCCTCTGATTGTACTCTCCCTCATATCTAAAATAAAACCTTTTCCTCAAACTACGAGTGACCTAGTCCTCATTTCCATTGATCTGGCGCCAAAACCACAGGAGTGGCACATTTGTGTTCTTTTCTATGGGATTCAGCCTTTTTGAATTAAGCTGCTGATTTGACTCTCCTAAGGTATGTATGGATCCTTTAGTTCTTCTGCCACCCACCTTATTTCACTCCAAATTCCAGAGTCTTCCTCTTCAGCTGCTTCTTCCCTCCACCTTCTCTAACCACTCATCTCTATCCCTCTCTCCTCATCTACTCAGTGTCTCTCTGGCTCCTGAAATTTGGTACACCTCTTGGGCAGTACTCATTTATCTTGATCTCTCTGACTCCTGTAGCCTGTTACACCCTCTTGGAGTCCCTGTCTGGGCATCTCTCTGGATGGCTATGACCTCATGGGCTTATGTTGTAAGACACTTACTCCCTCCCCTTTCCAAAAAGCGTCTCCCAGTCTACCTAATCAGCTGCCTCCTCCTCTCTTGCTTAAGTGAATAAATGTCACACCAGAACTGCCTGCTTTGTCTACTAGTACTACAAAAGCCACACTTGACTGCTCCAGGGTGCTCCCCTCACCTTACTGGCCCTCAGTCATGTGGAAAGGGATGCTGCTCCTCTGTGATTTGGGACATTTCTCTCTGACGAGTCTCTCAGTCTACCTGGGGATTGAAATTCTTGCTGCCATGACACTTACCCCGTCTGTTCCCCTTGTTCTCTGCTCCTTCCTGGAGCTTCATAACCTCTCTCTAAGAGATGCAGTCCTGCAGCTTCCCTCTGCCCTCCTGAGCATCTGCAAATTGGAATTCTTCCCCTGGAAGAGTTCCTCTACTTTGTGACCTAGTTTCCTCTCAGTAAACTTTTAGAAGTCCCATAATTTCCCTATGCCCTCATAGGCCTGTGACCATTCCCTCATCTCCCACATGTTTTCAGCTCCCTTCTGGAGCTTGCTCTCTTCCACTTTGGAGCTACTGTTCTGTCTTTTCCTTAAGCCCTCCAGCCTCTATGATATTGGAATCCTCCCTCAGTTGGAGTTCCTCTACCATGCAACACTGTCCAATCTCAGCTCCCTTCTGAAAGTCCCAGAGCTTCTTTATGAACTCCTGAACCTATGATGTGACCCTTTTCCTCACTCCCCACCTTCATACCTGCCTGCTCTGTCTCTTCCCTATACCCTCCTAGGCCTCTAGTTTCCTTTCACCATCCTAGACCTTATATGATACCTTCTCTTTTCCTCCTTGAACTCAAATATTTTATTAAAGCTTTACTGTCTTACTGCCCAAAGCTTGGCCTTGGCCTCAATACAGCTCAATCAGTGGCCAAAGATTGACACACGACATTTTCAAATTCTCTCATATGGTAACAACTTCTG